TGCGTCACTTAAAACGCATATTAAATCATAAACATATATCAAGGAGTTTCATCATCAAAATACGAGATTCAACATGGAGGCCTTTCTGAACTCTCTCCTTACTGAAATTTGGTTGTAGATCAGAGATGTCTCTATCTTTTTTCTGTTAACGAGTTAATGACATGGGGTGGTGGAAGGTTCGAAAAAATTAAGGATCACGGAAAGGTACTATAGCATATTTTTACGTCTAAAGTGTAGCGGTTTGGACGTAAAAGGTCAATGGTTTATATTGAGAATTTTTTGAAGAAACTAAAGAGAAATCCGATGTTAGGAAGTGTTAAAGATGTCGTAAAAATTTCATAGAGATTTTGACAGAAAAAAACCAATAATAAGATCAAACAAACTGTGCTATACGGTTGGAATTCTATAGTGCATCTAGCAGTTTGGATATAAAAGATCAGTGGTTTATATTGAAAATTTTTTGATAAAACTTAAGGAAAATCCATTGTTAGGAAGTGCCAAAGCTATCATAAAAATTTCATTCATAGAGATTTGAATAGAAAAACGTGGTAGCAAGATCAAATAAACTGTGCTATATGGTTGGAATTCTATAGTGCATCTTTCATCGTAGAGATAAAAACTTTATGACGAAAAGTTTATCCAGCAATATAGGAATGATTTTTTTTAGATTTTTGAAAAGGATAACTAAATTATAACAACAGTAAGGTAGGAAACCAGAACTTGTTGCAATTCACGAGGAGATCAAAGGATGATCCGTGATAGTAGAGATGATGGCGGAATTCAATGACGATCTTTTAAGCAATTATGGGAATTGCTTTGGGCGGTTGGGGAGAATTGATGGATAGTTGGACTTTTAAATAAGGATAACTACATTGTAGTAACAGTAAGGTAGGAAACTAGAACCTGTTGCAATTCACAGGGAGATCAAAGGATGATCCACGGTGGTGGAGATGACGGCGAAATTTAGCGACGATCTTTTAAGAAATTATGGGAATTGCTTTGGGTAGTTATAGAGGGCTGATGTATGGCTGTGGAAGGGCAACGAGACGCCAAGAACGCTACTCTAATACCAAGTGTTAGAACCCTAGCGGATTCTAAGCTTGTGGTTGATCTCTTTAGGGGATCGGTCTCTTTGGAACTCTATAGGGGCTCCTTCCTCCAAATTGCTACTCAAAGGTTGCTAAAAAGAATCTATTGCTTGTCAAAAGAGGATGAATATATGACTGTTTATAGGGCTTCTAAACCCTAACTCCTAATACGACTCCTACTAAAGACTCATACTTCTAACTAACTCATAATAAGACTCCTACTCTAAGAAATAATCTCTCAACTAACCCTAATCTTAATCGGTCTCGTCACCTCTTTAATAAGGGTCGACTAGATGGATTTTACATGAATACCTCTTTCAATAAAATTCAATTAGGACTCTCCTAGCTAGAGTCATATATTGTCCATGTGGTATCAAAAGATATATTGTCCATCTGGCATCAAAAGTGTATGAAGTGTTCGCCAAGTGACAATGAAATGTTACTCGTTTTGCACTTGTTATTGTATCGTATCACTATCTTACATGTCTTTCCACAAAACTATTCACACATTCGTAGGTAATAGATGAAGTTTTTAGTTGATGAATGGAGACAATTTTTGTCCCGATTTATTCGACAATTTAATCGGAGTCCTCTCTTTTCATTTGATTGCGATATATTTCTTGTCTATGAAATAAGAAAAATATGTTAATTATCCCAATCTCATTGAGACGACTCAGCCATCCCTGTAGGAAGTAGCTAAGTGAGCACAGCGGAGCCGATTCCTCTTCCCCATCCTAAAGCCAGAGGCGGACGCAGGAATTGCTCGTCCGGATCGCCACGCCGACTTCCTCGACGAGCATTCCGCATGCCTGACTCAGTTCGCCGTGGACACGGGACCGCCGAGTTCCACCGGACTGGGAAGAACGCACTCAAAGAGCTGGACGAAGCCAATGCCAGATTCTCTCTCTATCTTCCTTAAACTCCTCCGGTATATAACGAGTCCTCTTCGGTTGTGGCGTATATATATATATATATATATATATATATATATAGAGGGAGAGAGAGAGAGAGAGAGAGAGAGAGAGAGAGATCAGATCATCATGCGGTGGAATGGCGAGAAGTTGCTGCACAGAGCTTGATATCTGTGGAGGGAATGAAGCCGAAGATAGGGTGCCAGCCAAGAGTTAACGGTGGCGCGCATTGGGAGAAGCTTGACAAGGTCTTTATGGTGTTTAAAGACCACATCAAGTGAGCGAGAGAGAGAGAGAGAGAGAGAGAGAGATAGAGAGAGAGAGAGAGATCACATCCATGGCGAGAGGTTGGTGCACAGTGCTTGATATTTGTGGAGGACACGAAGCCGAAGGAACAGCGGAACAGTTCGTCTCAACCACATGCAAGCTTAACCCTACGTTGCATCAAGGTATGATGCCGAAGCATGTCACTTCACTCGTCCTGTCGTCAACTCCATCAGTCATAATCAACGACAACTCACGTAGGACCGCCACAATTACATTAGTCAAACTATCAAAAGACGGTGTGTCAAAAAAAAAAAGCTGGAGAAATGGAATTTTATTCTTTTATTAACGTGCCAAGGCATGATGATGGAAGTAGGACCAGTTTCAATCCTTCTTTTTCTTCTTTGGCAGAACGGGGGGAGGAAAAGGACACGATGGCGCACTGGTGAAAGCAGAGAGACCTCTTTGCTTTTTCTCGCTTTGGCACCAGGAATATGTGTAACTCCTTAGGCTTATCACTTTCCCATCTCAGGGAAAAAGCAGCAGAAAGCAGGATTGGACTCTGCTTTCTTCCGACTCAAACGCCTTTGGACTCGGGATGTGATGATTTCCATGCAATCCAATCAAGCTTTATCTATCACCAGTTCTCTTCTTTTTCAGATCGCGGGGCCCGGCTGGTGAACCAGTGGCAGCGCAAGCATCTCCTTGGAATGTCGGAGATCCCCGAGAAGGTTTAGCTTATGAGCTGTGCTCTGTTCCGTTTCCATGGATGTCCTTTAGGGTTGTGAAATTGAGGAAACTAATGCTCTATGAGGCTGAGGAATCATCAGATCGTGTGGTGATGATGAGCTCATCGGCCTTTTGTCTTTGTTGACTGCAAAAAATCTTTAAGATTAGCGATCGCATTGGCATCATCTTTTGTGAATCGCAAAGCTCTTTTTTACAATTATTATTATTATTATTATTATTATTATTATTGTTATTGTTATTACTACTACTACGATATAACTTCAACGTTCATGACTTAATGATTGAGCTTTTTTACAATATTTATGTCTAAAGAAATAGAAAAGTGAAAAAAATGTTTGACTAATGTTTTGTGAAAAAAAAAGATTTAAGAAAAAAAATATATAAAAAAGTTGATACATAACCAGCTCCGTGAAAATTATGATGGCTTAATTCAATTCAATCGATGCATCATTAGATCTATTCAACAAACATCATGATTAACTCCGGTTATCAAATCATCAATACCGTTCAATCGATCTATCATACTAAATCAAATTGGAAGATCCTTATAAGAAATGTTAAACCTTTTAATTATTGTTTGTATTCAAAAAGAATTTTATTAATAATTACATCATTACAACTTTGGTACTATAATTATAGAATATCTCACCTTATATGATAAATTGGGTTTGAACTCTCTTTATCCGAGTCTTATAAATCTTGAACACGTTATAATCATCAACTCGTACATCATTCAACTCGAGTGTAAAAAAAAAAGAAATCATTGGATATCATCGGGGACCTCACTAGATTAATATAAATTTAAATAATAATATAATTTAATCTATGAAGATGCAAAAGGCGACCCCCAGTTTAATGGATAGGTTCACTAATTCTAAATCCCAATGGCCTTTAATGTAACAGCTTAATCAATCTAAACCATTAGCTTCATAAATGGAAAAAAAGGAGTCCATCCGTTTCAAATTCATGTTATGAAGATGGATGAGAGCCATGAATCAGAAACAGAAGGAAGGAAACAAAAAGAAACAAAGTGGGAGGAGGGAGCGTGATTGCTTTTACTTTTTGTCTTTCGGAATCCGATTTCTATCGATTCTTTTCCCCCTCCCTTTGTTTCTTTTCTGTCGGCTTTACTGTCGTCTTTGAACAGTATCAAATCCTTCCTCCACTATTTTCTCTGCTCTCCTTCCCTTACCCAACACCCCCCTCCTCCCCTCTGTCACTCTGTCCCTCACTGTTGTCTCCTACTATTACGATCACAACAAGATTATATTAATTGGTAAGCAGCAGCAGCAGCAGCATCAGAGGAAGAAGCAAAGCTTTATAAGAGAGAGAGAGAGAGAGAGAGAGTTGAGTCGTTCGTTGCTGGGGAGGGGAGGGGAGGGGAAGGGAGAAGGGGGCTTCCATGACGGTCGAGAACGAGAGCCATCGACACCACCACCAACTCTTGCCGCCTCTGCAACCTCAAAGACGCATCCCTTCGTCCACGTGCGACCTGCACCCGGGCGAGACGGTCACCGGCTTCTGCGCCTCCTGCCTCCGCGAGCGCCTCGCGGGGCTCGAGGCACCTGCCGCAGCCTCCGGCCGTAGGTCCACCTCTGCCCTTCGATCCGTCTTCTCCATGGTCACCGTCGGCGCGGGCCCTGCCGCCGGGCCGTCCTCCCTCCGCCGCTCCAAGTCCTTCTCGTTCAGCCGTGGCGGCGACGTCTTCTCGGCGCAGCGGCCCCGCGCATCCGCCTTGGAACCCCAGCGCAGGTCCTGCGACGTCCGCGGCCGCAGCACCCTTTGGTCCCTCTTCCATCAGGACGACCGGGACAGGGTGGGTCAGAACCCTTCCATCCCACCCTTCTCCTCCTCCTCCTCCTCTTCCTCCACCTCAACCTCCTCCGCGGCGGCGGCGGCGACGGCGCCGTCCACGAGCGGAGCGATCGAGGTGGACTGCCGGAACCAAGGGCTTCCGGGCCCCTCCCTCGCTCCTCCAGTTTCCGGAACATGCGAAGAGTATGAGATCGGCCATGAGATCAGGCCCATTGGAACCTCGGGGGAGATAAATGAGGAAGGAAAGGGAGCAGCGGAGGAGGAGATGGAGCTGAAGCCGATGAAGGACCACATAAATCTCGACTCCGAGCAGCAGCAGCAACATCAGGCGAAGAAGCCACCGCAAAAGGACTTCAAGGAGATCGCCAGCAGCGTCTGGCTCGCCGCCTCCGTCTTCAGCAAAAAGCTCCAGAAATGGCGGAGAAGACAGAAGCCAAAGAACCAAGGTGGCGAAGCGACAATGCCGGCGGAGGAACCCCCTAAAACGTCGCGGCGGTTCCACGACACGCAGTCGGAAGTCGCCATGGACTGCTCCGGCCGAAGATCCTGCGACACCGACCCCCGCTTCTCTCTGGACGCCGCCCGGATGTCCATCGACGACCCCAGGTTCTCCTGGGACGAGCCGAGGGCCTCATGGGACGGCTACCTGATCGGAGGCCGATCAGTGTTCCCTCGTCTCCCTCCCATTCTCTCCGTCGTCGAGGACGCCCCTGCCCCGGCAGTCCAGCGGTCGGACTACCTTATCCCCGTCGAGGCAGATGCCGCCATCCCAGGCGGGTCGGCACAGACCCGGGACTACTACTTGGATTCATCCAGCCAGCGCCGGCGAAGCCTTGACCGATCGAGCTCCATCAGGGAGCAGCCTGTCGAGATCAGTGAGCCAAAGCCGGTCTCCAACAGCAGAGTATCCCCTGCAGGCGGCATGGACTTCTTCCCCTTCCACCATGGTGCCTCACTTGAGCGGGAGGTAAAAGATTGGAGCTCAAATTCCCTGAGAGATGATTACTCCGGCAGTTTTGAGTCAGCTTTTAGGGACCTTAACAAAGGTGCTTCCGCGAAGAAGTCAAGCAGGTGGAGCAAAGCATGGAACATTTGGGGGCTTCTTCAGCGAAGAAATAGTAGCAGAGGAGAAGCCAATATGGTTGACAGATCCTTGTCGGAGTCATGGCCGGAGCTGCGGTGCAAGAGCACCAATGGCAGGATTCTAAGGAGTAACAGCAGTGTAAGCTCGAGGGTCTCTTCTCATGCCAATGCTGGGTATGGGGTGATGAGAACGAGCAGCATGAGGTCCAGTGGGAATGATAAGAAGAAGAGTAGAGATGAACCCGTTCTGGAGAGGAATAGAAGTGCTAGATATTCTCCAAACCATATTGAGAACGGTATGCTGCGGTTTTACTTGACACCAAAGCGAAATGCACGGAGGAATGGAGTTTCAGCTAGCCGAAGGCAGATGATTCCTTCGCCTTACCTTGCAAGAAGCATGCTAGGACTGTATTGATCTGACTGTTGAACTCTATCAGGTTCATAATGCTGTTTTCTTTCACTTCACTAGAATTGCCATATTTTTATTAGGAAAAGCTTGCAGATTGCTGAAAAATAGCATGCTTTATTACTAATTCTACTTGCTTGCATCTCCCTTATCTTATACCTTAGTTTTCTATAATGCATCTCCTCAATATGATTGATAAGTTTACGTGCCTTAATTTTGAACCTGAACATGTTGTTTGCCATCTCTATAACCACTTTGCTATCTGTTTATCCATGAAAAAAAATATTGCTAGTATGTAGGTCTTGTCTGCATCATGTTTTTCACCATATTTCCCCTAATTTTTGCTAAGACTGCTTTGGATTCTTGAATGTAGTTTAACTATTACTTTAAGAACTTTTGTGACTACGTGTTCTTTTCATATTGTCGAACAGAAGTCATACATTAGCTTGGTTGAAAAATTCTCAAGAGGTGAACGTTTGGTAGAGCTTAACTTTTACTATTTCAATCATAAGTTCTAAAGAAGCTTATGAATTTTGGTTAATCCTCTGACCATTTAGATCTTGTCTGTAGGGGCTCAACTTTTCACCTTTGATCAAGATACTTCCTACAATTCAACAAAATCTTTATGTGCACTTAATTGTTGGCATAAATGTTGTCCTTGTTGACATGTGAGCATACTGCTGCATGCTCTTTATTGTCCCCACAGACAAGATTATGCACTAAAGGAAGAAGATTATGTTGACATATGAGCATTCTGCAAAATCTTTATGTGCACTAAAGGAAGATTATGCACTTTATTGTCCCCATCATGCTTAGGGCTTTCAGGACATGAACATGTACTATAACATTTGTGGCAAAAGCCTCTCCTGCATGTTATGCTGGCCCCATCATTTTATTTAGTTTAAATCAATTCAGTCCAACAGTCATCTTTCTCAAGCATGGAACTCACTTTGCTCATTGTCTTGGATGCCGTTTACACTGGTCCACCCCCAAAATATATCACAAACAGCTGGAAAGGAGCCAATTTGAAGATTGAAGACTGCAGCACACTTCAGAAGGTCGAACCTACTAAAAGGGATCGAAGTATGTGATTGTTAGGTTGCCTGTGATGCTAATCTTGCCCGAGATTTTCTACTATCTACTGAGTTGACAGTCGGGCTTCGTTTGTTACTATATACATACGGATAGAAAGCTTCATATCCACATGTATCTATTTACTGGTGAGAGATCACACATTGGAATTAGCTGCCGATGCCTAACTCTTCATTTTTCTGCTTCCAATTATTGGTTTTGCAGGTGGGATGATATCTAAGAAGATAGGATTCATCAGCTGGGATTGTACTCTTGCCTTGTTTGTTCATGAACCTCCACTGCCAAGTTATTAGATTTTGTTTGGGACAAATTTGAAGTCAGCTTGATGGTGAACACTAGTAACATATGCATGACTAGGGATTGGGAGGGTCAAGAGCTGAAGCTGGTTTGTGAAAAGTGTCAAATGATGCTGTGCACTCTACTAGGAGACCACTATGGGGAGTTCATCAATTGATTGTTCGGATAAGAGGTTTTAGAGTGACAGCATTCCTTGTAGTCAGTAGATGAGTGTCAAGGTTTTTTAGTTTCTAGTGGAATTAAAGTTCTACGAAGTACAATTTAGCAATCAGATTTTAAATAAAATAAACAGTACATGGCATGCACAACTATCCGTGCATGGAGGCATGTATTAACTAAATATGAACGTTAATAAAAAAAATTATACAGAAAGAATAGAATAAAATTTTGACTATAAGAGCAAATAATTTAATTAAAATGACATGTATTTTAATTTTCGTAGATTTTATCAGTAACAAATAATTTAATGTAGAGTGTTTTTGTTAAAGTAGGATTTTTGAGGGTCAAAATGTGTTATTATTATTATTTTCAAGAATGTTTTGAAAAAAAAAATCAGGAAAGAACCAATTAATTCTATATGAAAATTTTCACATATATGCTGGTGTAAAATAATTTTTTTAATTAAAATATGTGGGAGGGTCTCTGTCTCTCTCTCTCTCAGCAACCTCGACCGGCCCAAGTCCCAGTGTGAAGCCCAAATAGAGCCTTAATGGGCCGACCCAATTGAGAAGAGAACCACACGGATCGATTATAAATAGTGATCCTAACACGGCCGGTTCCACATGGTCTGTTGCTGCCTCCCCGGTCTCATCTCCATCTCAACCTCGAACACGTCGAGTTTTCCGGCCTCCTTGCTTCCGATCTCGCTTCAGGTCGCCCTTTCCTCCGATATCTATTTCTCCATCAATTTCTTCTTCATTTTGATTCTGTGTGATTTATTTTGGGTCGATGGATTGACCTCAGAGAGGAGTTGGAGGAGGAGGAATGGCTCACCGGGTGGATCACGAATGTGACTACCTATTCAAGATCGTGCTGATCGGCGATTCGGGGAAAGGGGAAATCGAACATCCTCGACAGTTCACGCGGAATGAGTTCTGCTTGGATGGAATCCAAGTCCACCATCGGCGCCGAATTCGCCACTAGGACCCTCCAGGTGATCAATCGATTGTCTCCCGTCCACTGCTTCTGTTCCTTGCTTTGATCAACATGACCTGACATCCCCTTCAAACTCGATTTTCACGCTCAATTCATGATATGTTTATGGACTTGCAGTAAGCAACCATGTATTTTATGATTGCAATTATGGGACAGACAGAACTGCATGCATCATTGCTTGCTGATCTTTTGATTGACTTCGAATTTGAGACCATGGATGTGTTTGTAGAAGTTGGCGCAGAGTCCAGATTGATTCGACTTCTTGTTGCCAGGAATGCTGCTTGGACCAATCGACGCTCCATTTCGATCCGGACAACTTGAGCAAAAGAGTACGAGATATGTCTGCGTCTTTTAGCTCGGATTAAATGATCGAGTCATTGGTTTTTATCTGGAGTTTCAACTGAAATGGTTGACCGTCCATGAAATGATTGGAAGATGTTTGTTCTCGATTGAACTGGGATATTTGTTTGGACAACAAAGTATCAAACAGCCTTGGGGGATAAAAGTAATGGTTCGAAGAATCTTACAATAAATGCAGTTTTATTGCATTTCAGACTCTTCTAACAGAAATTTATGGCGTAATTAGCAGTGTTGTGATATTGGGACTCCAATATAATTAAGCATATTAAAGCAATATGATAATTAAAAAAATTATTATAAAAAATATGAATTTATTTATTGAGATAATATATATTATTAGGGAAAAATATTATTGACGTCTTGGTTAGCTTGATGTAGTTCGGACTCGAATGTGTAGGATTGTTTGAGGTATCTCTGAGATAGAAATAACAAGCTCCTAATATATCACCTGTACAAAGACCGAGGTCAGGAGAGATTTCCTAATTCGATCCCTCCGACGCCAAGTTAATAGCTTGAGATGTACTGAGTGTAAGTGAGAGTAATCTCAACTGTCCCTTTTTCTATATGTTAAAAACAACCTTTTATACTTAATCATCAAGGGTTCGAAAGAAGTTTATGATTATCTTTTTCATCATAAATGATGAAAGAAAGCTTATGATTACTTTCTGGTCATAAATAGCAAGAAGAAAGTTTCGTCTTCTCCTCTCTCTTTGAGCATCATATGACGATGATATGTCGGATTATTAGTTGTTGATAATGTATCTCAAATCATTTAACCCACCCAGGCATGATTCAGGATGTTTGGTTTATTCGACATGTGAGCGTTCGAGATTTCCTCTTGTAGGTCGGGTTATCCTGATGCACATGTCTCGACCACATTTTACCTTGTGCTTCCACCATGATAGACTTATCTTTACATGGGTGGGGTTTTCTTGACGTACACATCTCAGACATATTTTATCTTGTGTCTCATTCGTAGCGAATTTCTCTTCACGTATAAAAATCTTGGTTCTTCTATGCTTCGTAAAAATCTTCTATGCTTTATCCTAGTTCCCTGGAGGGCGAGTTGGTTCTCAAGTCTCTCAGAGTCTTGGTGTCGATTCAGTAACAAATCGATTTTCTATCATTCTGCTCCTTAGTCTCCTTAGGTTGAGATGCCTTTTCTTTATTGTACAAGTTGTTCTTGATCTACTAGCTGCCAAACGGTTGAGGTCCATACTTTATCTTTGTATAATCTAATGTTGAATCTCATATTTTGAGGATGAAATCAATTGATTAAGTTATGATCTAATCAACGTTTGAGTGATGCAAGACTTGTTGAATCTCGGATTTTGATGATAAAATCAATTGATGGGTTAATTGATCTAATCCATATTATTGAGCTAAGTGTGCAGGATTAACTACGATAACCAGAAAACACAAAGCAAGAATACCAGAGTCAAGTTCGATGGACGTTTAAGAGTCTAAAGAATCGTCGGAGATGCTGCCGGAACCAATCGAGAAGAAATCGGGAACCTGTCGGAATTTTCAGAAGTTCGCCGAAGAGATCATCGGAGGTTCACGGAGATCACCGAGAAGGCTCGGCTACTTGTTAAAGTCATCACAAGTTCGGGAGCTTGCTGGGAGTCCGTCGGAAAGCTCGCCGAAACAAGACTCGACGTTCGCGGTTGAAAACTTACTTAGGGTGTTTTTTTTGTTATGTAGTTCACTTGTAATTAGGATGAGGATTAAGAGATAATCCTATATCCTGGTTAGGGGCCAACTGGGCCCAAAATTAGACTTGGTTTGGGCTAAATTTGAAGCCCAACAAGTGAACCAAAGGGTCTGGCGGTGGCATCGCCAGACTGGGCAGTTGCACCGCCCAGCATTGTCAATGTCTGACAGTGACAGGAGGTGGCACCG